CTTGCAGGGCTAGGGGCACGGGCAGCTCGGTCAGAATCGCGGCCAGCAGGGGCAGGGTATGATGTGGAGGTGGATGTGGGTGAAAAAGAGGAGGAGGAGGATGGAGGGGAGGAAGAGGAAGGTTGAGATGATGGTAGTGGTGGTGGTATGGAGACATGTTCGGGAAGTAGGTTGATGCGGCGTGCTGTGTTGGAGGAGGCTGAGATGGCTTCTTGATGGAGTTGGCGGGCTGCCCAGGCATCGACATCATTGATGTCTGGGGGCTCACCGTAGGTTTGGAAGTTAGGAGAGAAATATTCCAGGTCCCCGTCCCTGTTGGGTTGGGGCCTGGTATCTTCTTTTCCTATGCTGGTTTGGTCAGCCGCTTGCTCGGCTTCATCTTCGTCCTCATCCTCCGCTTCGTTTTCTTCGTTCTCATCTTCTTCTTCATCTTCTTCATCTTCTTCTTCATCTTCTTCTTCATCTTCTTCTTCATCTTCTTCTTCGTCATCATCGTCTTCTTCGGCAAGGTATTGATCTCTTTCAATCTTCCGTCGTCTCTCCTCTTCTTTCCAGGCCCGGAATTTATCAATTAATGCTGACACCTCTTTGATAAAATACGCTCGTTTAGGTTCGTATAGTTTCTTTTCCGTCTCCGTGATTCCGCTTATACCCATAACTCGCAGCCAATCATGGCCCTGTAACTCATCCAGTAATCGATCCAGCTGGACCTTTTCATGCTGAGCCCTCTCCCTCTCAATATTCCGGAGCTGCTTTTCTTGCCGTTCGATCCTCCGGTGCGCCTTGAAGTAGACATCGCCATCTAGCGGGTCCTTTGATGGGTTCTTACTATGATGTGTAGATGGTCGTAGGTCAAGTATTTGGGCATCATGGAGCTCGAGAAGTGGGTTCTCCATTAACGATTGTGCCATTTGGCCATTTGGCGGATTCCCTTTATCGTGCTTCCCCCGAAGTTTGGTTGCTGGCGCATTTGTCGGCACAGGATCAAGTACGATAGGTTGCGTGAGGTCATCGATGAGTAAGACCGTGGTGTCTGCCGAGAGGAACTCTATCGACGGTTAGCAACAGGAGATACACAAGCAGAGCAAACACCAAACTCGAATTGTAGCGCCACATCAGGAAATCTAGATATATAGATACACATACACACAAGCAGACAAACAAAACAAAGGGAGATAGATCAAAGTAAACTCACCGGGCTTCATAGGCTCTAAACTGAGAATCTGCTCATAATTCTGAAAATACATCGCCAGCTCACTCTTCGACCTCGATCCTCCATCATTAGATCGTAACGATCTCTTTTCACGACCAACTGCGGCGGTCGTCGAAGGAGAAGCCCCATCGTCCTTCAACAAGTTATTAACAATCCGATCATTTTTATACTTATCATTATTATCATTATCATGGTCATCCGCAATCATAATGCCATTAACCACTTTTTTCTTCTTCCTCCTCTCCTCTTGCGCCACATCTTCACTCACCCTCACAGGCGTGTGATGTTGTTGTTGTTGATTACTATGGGCAGATTTGCGCGTTGTCCGAGATACGGCTGATGCGGGGGAGCGGAGTGGAGCGGAGAGTGCCAGGGTAGTGGGTTTACTATTATTCTTATTAATAGCTGTAAGCCCACCACCACCACCACTACTACTACTAACACCCGCTGCAGTAGCTGCAGTAGCATTCGCTGACCGCGTCCGAGACGCAGCAGGCGTTGTTGTTGTTGATGATGTTGTTTTTGTAGATGATGAATCCGGTGTCAGTAGTAGTAGGCCCTGTGAATCCCTACTGCGCAAGGGAAGCTTTGCAGGCCCGGTGATGGATGCCTGGTCATGATGGCGACCATCCAGCTTTGCCTTCTTGAAAGGCCGTTCGGGCGCTGGAATTGTCTTGGTGGGTTGTTGGGGTTGGCGGGGAGAGGAGGCAAGGGGGAAGGGGAGTTTGGATTGTTTAAGGGGTTTTAATTTGTCTTGTAATTGGTGATGTTTCTGCTGTTGTCGTTGTCGTTGTTGGATTACGGCACTTCGTCGTGTGGTGGAGGGGTTGGGGGGGATTGATTTGGTGGTGGTTGTGGTGGTGGTGTCGTGAGCGAAGGAGGGTATTTTGCTAGGATCGAATGATGGGGCGACAGGAGGAGGAGGATCTCTGTGTCGTACGGACGAAAATCTCAACGTCGGTGTTGAGCGAGCAACCATGGCGGGAAGGAGATTGGTCGCTGGCGGGTCATGGCCCTTTTAGAGGTGGCAGATGTAGCCCTGGGGATGGCTTCTCGACTCGCCTGGATAGAGAGTATCTTTGTGTCGCTGTCTCGTCTCGTCTCGTCTCGTCTCATCGCAGCCAGGATTTTTGTTCTTCTTCCGTTGTTGTCGGCCACGGCGCAGAAGGGGGCGAATGGATACTTACGCGTGGCGTGACAGTACGGGCGAAATATTACCCAGTTTTGGCTGCTTGGAGGGTGGTATTGGGCGGTATATATTAGACTTCATACTGCGTGTTGGTACACCTAACAGACCAGAGATAGGCGTTGCAGCGCCTTGGAAAACCAAAGTTACCGGCGGTGGTACAGGTACTGACAAATCACTAGTAACGTTAAACTAACTAACTATAGGATAGTCGAAGGTTGTATTGATGGAGCATATACGGAGTACAAAGAGCGTTAATATAGTGGTTGGTCACGTGATCTAAGGACATCGCCACAGGCCGCAGCGGCCAACACTAACTACTGTCGGCGGATTAAGTAGTTAAGCCAGTTAAAATTGGTCTGGATTTTGCCAAGAGCGGGAAGTCAGAGAGACCTCTTGCTCAATGAAAATACTCTCATAGTAGCTAATAACCACAGATTGAAATCTATAGCCCTAATAGTATTAAATAACAATTATAGCAATCTGAAAAAAAAAGAAAAGAAAAGAAAAAAAGAAAGAAAGAAGAAAGAAACGACGCGCTCTTTTGACTCTTGCGGAACGCAGATTTCGCTATCATAAAGGGGAAACGAACTAGAGAGGGTATATACAAATTAAAGGAAATAGTGGTATAAGAAAAAGAATGAAAAACAAGAAAAAAAAGAGAGAGAGAGAGCCCGAAGCGATTATCCGACATGGCTAAACAAAACTTCCTTCAGTATAGGCGATCCGGAAAACTCAGGATTGAGAAGCACGCAGCTGATGAAAAAGTTATTAGTATATGTACAACTAGTTAAAAATAAGGCACTCGAGATAAAGGCTGAGGTTAAGTTAGTTAAACTCACTTCAAAAAGTATGCCAGTCCAACCCGTCTCGTTTCGAGAAACTTAGGGCTAAATTTAACTGTTGGAATTTTAAATCATATTATTAATTAGCATCACCGGTTTTGCAAAAGTGTGCAGTGACAGTGATATAATAGCAGGTTAAGTGGAAAAGGAAAGAGTAAAACATACAAATGGCGCTCTTGGGTGGGAGCTGCGGAAGCGCGGATTTGGCATGGGGGAATGCAGCGGCGAGTTTGGAACGCAGGTCGTCAAATTCAGAGTATCTGATATGGTTTTTAGCTTGATCGTCAAGGGGGACCATATATAAGTATGTATGTATGAACATGAGAGATTTGTACGTACCTCATCCGAACCACCATGGGACCTCCCTACGTCACCAGAACGAAGATTAACGTCAAGCCAGGGCGAGATTTTTTTTTTTTTTTTTTTTAATATATAAATAATGAAAAAAGAAAAACAAACCTCCAACGTCTGAATCTTACAAATCCACACTACATACGCGCCAATCCCGGACTTGTCCCCCTTCACAACAATATAATCATCAATGGTCACGCTACGCGCCCAGAGGCCCTGACTCGTCTCGCATGCCGGGTCCTCCGTGTGGTCTTCTAGGCGTATAAGCGACCTCCGCGGCGCGGAGGCGGCGTCTAGCGATGTTTGTGATGCCAGGGAGACGTTCCTATAGTGCCGCCAGTAAGGGGGGACTACTCCTGATGCCGCTGTTGACGTTTGTGGGACGGTCCATGGGGACGGTTCTTCATCAGAGGTCGGTGATTGTTCCACTGCGGCCGCCGCTGTGGTGTTGTTATCGGTACTTTCGGGGGTCGTGATGGTGGTGGAGGGGGTGGAGGTGTGGTTCAAAGGGAAATTGCGAGAAGATATAGTGGTGTTATTGAAGTGTGAGGTTGGGGCCGAATATTGTGATTGCGGTTGCTGCATGCGAGGTGGCCGCGCCTCCTCATTCCGCGGCTCCATCCATCAGCTAGATGGCCCGTTGTGAACAAGCGAGCAAGAAGTATGACGTGGGAATCGTCTTGGCTTGTTTTTAAGGCTTGTTGTAGAAAATTGAAGGCCGCAAAATGGTGCGTGGAAGCTAGTGCTACTTGAAAGAGAGTAGAAGGAGAAACTGGTGTGTGTGTGTGTGTGTGTATTGTGTGCGTGTGAAAGTTCTGGTGACCCAGAGATAATCTTCAACTCGGTTCTATTGTCATCGTTAGCTGGTGCTGGACGAATTGGGCATCTGGGAATGATCGCCAGCATGCATGAGTGATGTGGAACTGGGGATTTGGGGTGTACAGCTAGCAAGCTCACTCCGCAGTAAAGATTGTACGCCAGGCAGCAGAGTTACACATACCAAGCAGGGGATATACTATTATTAAGGGGCAGCATCAGTCGCTGGTCACCAGCTTCTGATATAACTGTGCTGTGTATAGCAAGATAGCAAAGGGCTATTGATTGATATAGTGTGCTCCGCATAGGGAGGACGTTGAGGGCGCCAAGACGGCTGGGGCCGATGTCATGTGAGGAGCTGCCCCTCAACAACCAATCACAAGCGCGGAATGTCGACTCTCATTGGATTGGTATAAAATAAATTATTTATTATATTAATCCATTTTTTCTCTCCCCGTCATGCCTCAATTAAGATGGCTTTGAGGATCAAAACTTTTGGTAGTTTGATACAGACAGACTAATAAGAGCTTACAATTCACTCCAATGGAATTTTTCTACGGTTCCAACGCTGGAATAAATAGAAGAATTGATCGGGCCATTTGCGATCAGGCTGGATCGACTTTGGTGGTCCACGCTGACAAAAAGCTTACGATATAACGTACTCCGTACATAGTTACATATGAATATGTTTAACGATAGTTATGAATAATATATATAAAACAGTGTCGGAATGAGTGTCTTGGATGAATATGTCGGAAACATATAAATCTTATGTGTATCAAGATTCAAGATCTGCTTCTTATATTATCTGTACACTATCTATTATATACAAAAGATAGAGCTATTTATAGCAAAACAAATGTGCAAGCTAAGAGAGCTAGTATTAGTAAGTACTAAATGAGTTTTGTAGTAAGCTGATGATAAGGAAAATAGTAGTAATATCATATTAATAACATTTATAATGTATAATCTCTTATTTCCTGACTGTAAGAAATCCCGCTTCTCACGGATTCTTTACCCCTATTTCTATCTCTCAGATAACTAATAGGGTTAGTGGCCCTTGGCTACACACAACTATATAGACTGAAGTTCATGAATACTATTCATAACTCAGCTTGAATACTATTATATATTTAATCTCTATATTTTATCTTTCTACTGTGAATACTTCTAGTAGTTAATAGTATATATTATATTAAGCTATAAACATCTGAATAATTATCTAAAAGTACTTATTCTTATATTTTAAGCTAAGTCAGTCAGTAACTATTCATTATATCTGAAAAAACTAGAAATTTATATACTTTAATCTTTATAAACTCTACTGTAGACACTTAGAAGTAGTTATCTAAATTATTAATAATCTTTATAAAAGAAGTCTTAGAGAACTTATTAATTACTTATAGAATATTATTCTCTATATCTATAATTGAGAAACTCTTTAAATATATAAATAAATTAATCTTAGTAAAGAATATTCTTAAGTATTTTCTGTAGAATTAAGCTATTTTTTTTATAAGAAATACTTACTATCTATAAACACTTTTAAACTAAGTCTCTAAATATAATCTTCAGAGATACTTATAAACTGAAAAGAAATTTTCTTCAGTTATAATTACTTAAGATTATTTATTAAATTATAATCTATAAAAGCTTTTATAAGTTTATATTTAAAATTAACTTATAAGTCTGACTATATAATATAAAAGATAAGAAAGTTATTATCTATATAATAACAGATCTCTACTATACTGAAGTTAAAAACTGATTAAATTATTTAAAAAATAATTATAAGAGATTTTATTAATCTATTTTTAAAATCTATTTAGAGAATAAGTTAAAGAATTTTATAAGTTAAATAGAGAATATCTGAGTTATAATTATTAATATTAGAAAAAGAGATGAGAAATCTGATAAAAACTACTTATAGTATTTTATAAAATTATAATATAAATTAAGATCTGTGAAAATAGAGTTCTGAAATAAGATCTGAATAATAATATTTATAAAAAAACTGAATAAAAATATATAGAATAAGCTTATTAAATAAGACTTTAAGTTCTTAACTCTAAAGAAACTAATAACTTTTATTTACTATTTATAAATTATTATAAAAGTTGTGACGTGCTTTCACTCTCTATTCAAGTCAATTCTCTATTCAGCTCTAGCTTCCGCTTCATCCCTTGCTGTTTCCTGAAGCTTTTACTTCTATCTTCTTTCTCTGTTCTTCTCTTCATATGTGATCACTTCTTCTATGAGAGCTTTCACTTCTTCTCTACAGAGTCTTCATTCTTTTCTTCATATACAATCACTTCTTCTATGAGAGTATTCACTTCTTCTCTACAGAGTCTCTGTTCTTTTCTTCATAGACAATCACTTCTTCTACAAGAGTTAATCTCTATAAAATAATCACTGTATATATAAGAGCGTACGCTCATCTCCCATCTTTTAGAGAATAAGACAAGTTTTTACTCTTATATCTGACCCTACATAGCAGTGTATGCTATAATTTGATAGTATATCTTGTTAAGAATCAAGTTCTTCTAGTCTCTTTAACTTTCACTCTGCTCTTGATATACATAGCATCAGTGATTGAACCAGGCTGCAGACACTGAGAATTGACTAGCTAATAATCAGTCTGATTAGTTATTCTATCTTCTTTCAATACTGCAGCTAGTGATTAATCTAGCTTGTAATTATTCAGCTGTTCTATCTTCTTTAATACTGCAGCTAGTGATTGATCTGATCTGCAGTTATTTGAATCTATTTCATTCAATACTACAGCTGGTGATAGGTCTGACTAATAATCATTTAAGCATCTTTCACTTCAGAACATCATAGCACTAGTGATCAGTCTAGAATGTGATCACAGTTGCAGTAAACTCATCTTCACATTCTTATATGACTTTATCAGCCCTGTCACAATAATGAAGCAGAATGAATGAATTACTCAGAGCAGCTCTCATCAGTCACTTTCTTTCACTGAACTGAATGAGCCTGTCAGTGAAATTGAATAACTCACTCAAGAATTCACTGATGAACTCAACTCAGGACAAACTTACTCACAAACAATGGCTGAAAAGTATGCTATTATGATTACAGAAGTCTGGCAGAATACAGATAAATAATATAAGAGTGTCAAAAGTCAAGTGACACTGTACAATCATATCAAAGTGAAAGACATTTTTATGAGTGTATCAGTCAGATGTTATAATGACATAAAAACAGTTCTTAACTCTGCTTCAGTAGTGAAATGAAAGAATGTTATTGATCTCTGATTACAGGCCTTCTGCACAGACATTATAAAGAATACTAAGAAGAGAGGTTCAATAGCTTCAAGCTTTTATGAATTCAACTATCAGAATCACACTCCTTCTGATGAAGCAGCAATACTAGATATGATTGAGAAGTTAGAACAGCTAGAAGCCTGACTGACTTGATAAAAGAGTGAGCTCAATGAATGTGAACATCAGCTTAGTCAGTGAAAGAAGCAGTTGAATAAGTGTATCATTCTCATTGATAAATGTGTCAGCAAACTTCAAGAGAATCTTAAACAATTGACAGATGAAAGAAGCAGATTGATGAAAGTATAAAATAGCTTCTGCACTGAGAAAGCTGCACTCACTGCTCAAAGACAGGAGCTGAACTGTTGTTAGCAGATGAATCATTCAGCTCAGATTGATAGAACAGATGTCAGAGCTAATGATTCTCTCAATGAGTCTGTACAGCAATTAGATGCCTTCTTCAAGAAAGGCTTTGAATCACCTTCTAGAACCTGACAAATGCTGACAATTTCACAGGAACTGTGCAGTGCTGAAGGCAGAACACATCATCATAATCTAATAAGAGACAGGATTAATTTCCTCAGAGAAGCTGATACTGCATGTTTTACTTATAACTCAGAGAGAAACTGAATGCATAGGAATCAGACACTCACTCATGACAATCTTGATCTTTCACTTAATAGTGAACCTCATTTATCTGTATGAAGTGATGATAGATCAGTGAGATTACAGGCTGGCAACATCATGCTATTCAACTCAGTGAAAATAAATGTAATGATGTTTATCAGTCACTTAGAATTCATCATCATACAGAAGGGAGATAACATGATTCTCTGTGTATTCTCTCTGTATCTGAAGAGTCAGGCATTGAAATAGCATAACAGTCTGTCTATTGAAATGAGAAAGAATATGAATGCCTCTCTCTCTACCATTATCAATGAGTTAAAACACGAGTTCCAGCTATCAGAAGAGAAAGCTTGAATGAAAGCTCAGACTCTGTGTTTTTTCTTTGAGAAGTCAGATGAACTGTCTCTGACATTATACATCTCACAGAAGATTAACTTACTGCAAGCTGCTGCAATCTCTGATCTCATTATGATAAAGAGACTCTTGTGAGAGAATTTAGAGTTCAATCTTTTCTTAATCACACTGCTCATTTCTGCTGAATGATTGAATAACTTCTGATAACAAATTAGAGACAATGAGTCAGTTATCTGACATATCTGAACTGATCAGAAGACTCAATTCACTGACTACATGTGTAGTTTCAGATGTTTTGAACAGAATAATGACTGCTGCTCATATCACATCTCTCTGTCTAAGTAGACAGAAGCTACAAAGCTGTCTGTGTCTATCACAGAGATGACAGTGATTCTCACAAGTGCTCTCACAATGAGTAAGTTGTCAATTCAGTGTACAACAGAAGAAGGAAGACTGCCAGTGCCTGCAGCAGAGTGCTATATCTGTGAAGACCTTTATTACATCAATCACTGCCTTAAAAAAGAGAAGAACAGTGATCATCTGACAAATCAAGTTAAACTGAAGAATATCAGAAAAGATGATAATGAGCTGCTGAATCTAGACCTCAGTCTAGATTTCAACAGTGAGTTGAAAAAATAATCAGTGAGATAGACACTGAGAGACTCATCTCATCTACAGATATTTTCTTAGATGATTATCAGAACATCTTTAATACTGACATATATGTGATTGCAGTGTGTGATATCCCTATAAGTGATCAAGAATACATTAGTAAACTACAGTATTTATCTTACATCTTTCTCATCATTCTCATCATTACATCACAAGATGATCTCTCT